GGATCGAAATTACGGGTGGGAGCACTGAAATATTTCCACTGGGTGGGGTTCAAGACATGTGATATCGATTTCGATGTTTTGTCACGGGTTTTGAACGGGAAAAAAATTTAATTGAAAAACAACAATTTTCTTAAAATTTCTTGAAATTATATCTCTTTATGATATAATTTATAGCGGCGAAATGAAACCCTGTAACTTCGCTCGAGATTACAGGGCTGCTGCTATCCCAAGTGTCATACCAAACACACTTTCTAAGTCCATTCCCTCCAGCTCCAAATGGATTATCACCCCAATAATGTTATTCTCCACCACTTTCTCCTGCTCTATGCGCGTGACAATTTTCGATTCTCAGATATTGATCGTGAATGACCTAGAATGGTCTGACGCGTGTGGGTGTTTATCACTAATGATTCTTGAACTAATGAAATTTTCAAAATTTTACTTATCTCAGGATTAAATGAAGTCATGAAATAGAAATGAGGAGACCATAGGGTAAATTCAATGGGTTACGACACGAAAAGCAAAGTCCGGGAATTTCTAGGCAAAGTACACATTTTTCCTTAGCAACATCTGATAGATAGTTACGTCTAGCTTTATTCAAGTCGATCTAGTGAGTGTGCTATGGAGAATCATATCACCAATTAATGACCGCGAAATAGAGAAAAGACGGTAATAGCATACTTTTCCTCTCACTCCCACGACAATTATATAGTGAGAACGGAAAACCGTTTTCTCGTTTGAAATTCACTCTCTTGCGGTACAAAAATAAATTGATACGTTACTCTACCGATTTAAGGAAATAAATGGCAGAGCAGTGCATTAAACCACGTAATCCTCAGACCCTCACCCTCGACACTCTCCGAACCCTCTTCGCCATTTTACTTCCCAGAGACCCAACGACCGAGGAACACGGAGGGATAAGCTGGATAAAAATTATCTATAAAATCGCGCAAATTTACTATGTGGAAGAGTAATCGTGTTGGGAAATGCGAGTTCAATAAAATAGTACATTTCAATGCGAGTGAGACGGAATTTTCACGATTGGGAAGTCAATCACACGAGTGGCCGTCGAACAATATTTTTTGACAGAGATATTACGTTCAGCGAGCGGCCGAACTGTGCCTTTTTCGTTTACAAGTAAACGAAAAGACTTCGTTTACTTTTCCTTCGCGAGTAAACGAAAAGGCACTTTTCGGCACGAGGTGAACGTAGTAGCAGTGTCAAACTAGTATATTTCGTAACGAGTGCAAAAAAGTGTTTTTAAAAAACATTTTTTCGCGAGTTACGAACAATATTTTTCATCACAATGTGGCGGAAATTGGACTTTCAGGCACGCGGAGCGTGCCGAAAAGTTCACTTTTCGTCACAGCGTGATGAAAAATAATTTTTGTCAAGAATATCTTACGATTCGTTCGGTATGCCGGAATAGCTATTTTCGTGACAAGGCCAAAAAAAACTTTTCTGACGAGTGTGAGAGTTGCAGACTGAGGCGAAGCCGAGGAATGCCATCACACGAGTCAGAAAAGTTGTTTTCGACCGAGTGGCGAACATAATTTTTCTTCACGAAGTGTCCGTAAGATGACTTTTTACGGACAATGTGATGAAAAAGTGTTTTTGAGCCTGGACCCGAAAAAATGAATTCCGCTGTATGACTACTTGACTTATTCAGTCATTTTTCTCCAACTTTTTCTCCGTGAAATATCGAAGCCAAGTCGCCTTGCGCGCCTTAGCTATCGGCATACATTACGCAAATTTATTCTATCAATTTCGCACAAGACTCGTAGCAAAACTCGTAAACTTGTTGCGTTTGAGTAGTAGAGATGGAGGCAAACGTCTTCGGTTTGTATTTTCGTCGTTCATGCGCCAAACACTCACGCATCCCCACCCTCTACCCTCTGGACTCCACTGCGATTAGCGGGAGGGGGAGGGGGTTGCAGAGGGGAAAGAGTGAGACCGAGAATACCGGAAATATAAACTAGAAAAGTCGGAATTTTACGATACGATGAGCGAGTCTAGATGAGGTTTCCCTCGTCCACTTGGTTAAATGAGAATAACTAGGGAATCGATTGTGAATATTCAAAGGCACATCGGAACCTTGGGAAATATTCATGATCATGTTTTGTTGTTTTTGTTTACCAATTCACCACAGAAATTTTACATATTTAGAGTTAAAAAAATAATTTTAGAAAATTTGCTTTCCCTGTGCATCCATCCGAATTTGTAACGAGCTTCATTGATTGTTTCAAAATAATTGAACAAAAAAAAATTTCAAGAGAAAATCTCTCACTCCTCAAAAACGTGTCTAATGACATTTTCGTGGAAAATTCCTCATTTCCGAGATAATAATACGCTTAAGAATAATATCGTATTCAAATGATCACGTCGTGTGTCATTAATGCATAATTAATTAATCAAAATTTAACTCTCAATTATCATGATCGATTACGGTTAATCACCTGGGATTATTCATTCACGCACGGTGCATAGAGAATGAAAATGAAAACCGAATAATGAAAACTGGAATTTTTTAGTTCTAATGGAGAAATTGTTATCAATAATTCAAACCTAATCAGCTCATTATTACAGTATTTATGATAAGATATTCAGGTCAAGAGTGCCGGAGGGCCGACACTCGACCTTGCAACTCGATATTCCCTCGGAGACATCCACTAGAATTTTTTTGCTCCCCTTTTTTTAAGGAAAACGAAATAAAAATGGAGATGGGAGAGAATAAGAATGAGAGGAACGTGAGTCAGGTGGTGTAATATCACAGGACACCGGACCAAACGAGGATACTCGTTACGCTCGGTTGAGGAGGGAATCTTTTTCTCTCTCACAAGATTACAACGAAATACGATGTACACTCGGCCGCATTTTTGGGGTCATTATAAAATTGTGTAAAAATGAAATTTCATGGGGACGAACGCGGTGACAACCCGAGGTACCCCAGTGATTCTTATATGAGCTATTCCCGTAAGAGCCCGCGTTACAATGCATTTTTTTTTAAAATCCTGTATTTCACTCATTCTCCTAGGCTATCTGGGATTTTCCATAGAGGTTTTGAAAAAATCGAAGAATGTAGAAAAAAAACATCATCAATTTCTCTACTTTTTTTCGATCCCCCCTGACCACGCCATAAATACCTTAAGAATAACCGCAGTACTCGGAGGACTGAGAGCCCCGTAACGCAATTATAAACATTTTGTCCGAATGTCAATGCTGAATTTGGTTTTGATGGAGATTTCTTATTTGCCAGCCGATGGATTGGGAGAGGGCAATCGATGAGGTAGTTTTTTTATGGTAACAAGATCGAATATCATATCAACACGATGGATCAATCAAACAATTCATCCTTCTCATTGCCAATAAAATACAATTCTCCATTCAAATACAATTCACATTAATCAGGAGGATGGACCCTGAATAATTGACACCAATTTTGCGCAACATTTCGAATTGAATATGGAATAATTTGAGTGAACACTAATAAACATTCTAATTCGTCTCTTTTTTATTACAGAATAAATAGCAAACGTGTCCGCATCATAATGAGTTATGTGTCCTGATGCTTTAAAAATTCATTATTGCGAAAACGCGAAAAAATTCTGAAATAATAAACGCGTGACACTGGCGAGTCATTAGCTGGAGAATACTCCAAATATTATCTATAAAATCAAGGAAACAATCGTAAGAAAAACGCGTTTCCTCGGGAAATACCCCAAACCGAACTAAATTCCCCTTTTCCCATCCATCCAAATACCTCTCCCAATATTTTCCATAAATAAACCCTAAAGGCTCTCCCCGTATTCCCCCCCTGATTCCTGGAAATCGCGTAAGGCTATCTCAGCCCAATGCAGATGAGCAGAATGAAAGGAGGGAGCAAAATACTTCAGACACACCAATCAAAGCGGCAATTACAGTCACGTAATAAACTACAGGTGGCTCGTGTCATTGATCCACCCAACGCATCTCTCCCTTCATTCATTCATTAAAAAAAAACCGAGACATGCGAGTGGAATAAATCCACAAGAGATTTGAGAGAAATTATCCGTGAAATAAAAGCATTAATTCATGGAGATAAAACTCAAGTAGAGCTTGCAATAACGAAAGTGAGCTACTTTAATTGCAATTGAAGATTCCCGCTGGACGAGTAAAATGGGTAGATAATGACGGCCCTTGATGTCCGTTGCGTGCAGGAATAAAACCGTCTTCATCTTGTAATTATCCCGCGACATAATACGCGGTTGTCGCTATACAGCGCTTCGCTGTTTTTATTTTCATTTAGTTTTCTCGAATGTAAATTATTCAGTTTTATAAGTGCCTGAGAAATCAGTTACTCATTTGGTCCCTTTTTTTATGGTATTCGACGCATTGAATTCCCTCCATTATTGATGACTGACGTCTTGAATGGGGAGCTAAAACGGTCGTTTTTAAATTTCTTCCGTTGCTTTTTAACTTACCGACCCTAAGGGAGGAAGTTATTGTAATTACCCCGAAAATCAAAAGTGGAATTTTCATGATTTGTCGACGTTTCATGACCCCTAGAATCATACTGACACGTTTTTAGAAATGCATGTGTGTGTGTGTGGGTCAAAATTTTGTCCAACGATATCTCCTGAACAAATGAAGCAATTAGATTAATTTTTTTTCCAATTAATGCATCTTCATGTAACTTAGAACTGATTTTTTTATGAAGACGATGCCCTCTGCGGCTCTTTAGTAATTCGCAAAAAACATGTGAAAAAACGGGAAAAATTATTGCTTTGAGAAGCTAAGCAGCGCTGAGAATCACTAGATGGATGGGTGGTCGCGCGGGAACAGCTCAGGAAGGAAAGATTGGAAATTGAAAAAAATGAAGTAATACTTAATCTACGTCAAAATTGTACAAAATTAAATGAGAAAATAAATGCTGATTTGATGAATGAAACGCAGTAAAATTTATTCACATGAAAATATTGTGGGGATCGAATGATATTGGGGTGAGAATGAGTGGTGACACGTCAGTACTGGAGTGATCTCTTGGTTTGGATGTCATCGAGAATTGTTCGCAACTCCTCATCCTCTAAACGACCCTCAAGACTTGGAATCAGGGCCTTCGCCTCCTCGGGAGTCTCAGGACAGAGATTTGCCAGGGACGCAAGTTCGAACTTGTGGAGCTTCTTCTGCATCAGTAGGCTGGAAAGAGAAGAGAAATGATTAGTGAGAGATGAAAATTCCGAAAATTTCCCTAAAGTTTCTTTTTGCGAAGAATTTCAAGTGATGCGAGAGAACATCTCTTGACACTATCCTCTTAACATACGGATTTTTATTGGTTTAACTCCCACTAAATCCGAATTTATGTCAATAAATGAATCTTACTTTCTAACAGCAGCAATGACCTCCTTATTCTTGAATTTTCTGAACCGATCAGTATAGTTGAGGCTCTTCATGAAGACCTCTGAGAACTCCTGCTCCTCCTCAGCAGACTCATTCTGCGCCTTCCTGTGCTCCAGCAGCATGTGGACCTCCGATATGAGCAGAGTCTCAGCATTTTCGAACTCTGCGCAGAATAAACCAGCACCCACCGGTCAAGACAATAACCCAACTAATCGATTCACCCTTAAATCGCCCAATCCGCCATCTCCATTTTTGGTATCAATGTATTTTTTTAAAATAAAAAACCTGCCAAAGCATCAAACCCTCTCATTCAATACACCTCTTATTCTGGATCCAGCCAAATTCAACCAAAAATATATTTTTATCTCTTCTCTTCGTTGTCGAGTGCAAGCCTGCGCACGTTCCTTCACTTCAGCTTCGTATCCCCACCCATCATCAATTTCTTATGGCACTGACACTATTCTGGAGTCGTATTAAACTGATAACATTGACTTTTTCTTAATTCTAACGAACTCTTTAAATCACCTATTATGAGGTATTCTTCAATTTGGAAATTTCAACATCTTCTTCCATAGATTAACCCAAAATTAACAGAAACAACCAGGCAAAAATTACCCGTAATTCATAAAAAATAATCCAGATTAAGGAAATTTAGCAATAAAAAACCATCTCTGAATGTCTAATTTTAGTGTCTAAATTGGAAATAGAAATTTATAATATTGTCGTTCCACCTGATCATTCCTCACCCCCCAATTTTTCCTCCCCATTTTCCTCAACTAAAAAAAACCAGCAGAACTCATCTCTGAATTTTTTCACTTACGAATCTAAAAAACGCCATTGCCCTCAAGAGGTCTTATTCTGAATCCACCCATGATCCACCAAGAAAACATACAGCTTCTTCGTCCTATTGACATCGATCTTCAATAAAGTCCGAGCCTGCGCAAGTTTCAGCGAGCCCATCTTCTTATTCTCATTGATCAGCAATTTCTTATGATCGAGATACTGTTCAGGAGGGATCCTGGCATGAATGCAGAGTTCCCTCTCCTCGGGACTGAGCTTCTCCTCAGCAGGAAGTCCCCTGATATCCAAAGGAGGCGGCTGCCTCCTGGAGGAGCTCCCAACAACGACAGGCGCCTCCCTAATCGTCAACTTCTGAGGAAGACAGCTCTTCCAGCTGTACTCAACACTCCCCAAGTACATCTTCCTCTCCCTGTCGCTCTCCCCCTTCAGCGCCAGAAGCTTCTTGAACATGGGAATGCTGTGAAAGCTCCTGATGCCATTCATCCTGTACTCGGAGAGTCTCCTCAGAGAATTTCTCAACTCTCCAGCGCGATGGAGGCCCTCCAGGACATAATCGAAGTCCATTCCCCCCGCCAGCTGCATAAACACCAGGAGTCTTTCAGCTGTTGTCCTGGTGATTGTCTGGTCGTACCTCTGGAGCCAGGACATTGTCCTCCTGAAGGCGATCAGTCCGTGCTCTCGAACTATCGCCTTTCGTCTCGCTCTCTCCCTCAATCTGTTGTTGTAAGACTCGACAATGGCAGCTTGGAGACTAGTCCCCAGTCTGTAATCGTCGTCCTCTCGACTGAATTCGTTGTACCTCAGCTCTGACACGAGGAGTTCAGCGTGATTATCGAAATTAACTTCGAAGTCTGATCTCGCTGCGTTGTATCCGGCCAACAGTCGACTGTTGGAGGTGCCTGTGGCGAACCTCGGGGGCTCCTCGAGGTCCTGCAGCTTGAATGAGTAAGGAGTGGCCTCGGTGGAGAGGACAGTCGAAGGAGCCTCTCTCATGCCAGGCAAACCTGGCAGACTCTGATTGTCGATGTAGTTGTCGAGGTAGTGGGACTTGCAGTCCTCGGGGGACCTCCCCTGCATTCGCTTCGAGACGTCCACCCAGTTGCCGAAGCCGCAGTCCTGGAGGATGTCCAGGAAGGCGGACTCCTCCTTTGCGCTCCAGGTGGACGACTCGATCAGGGGGAACTCGTTCCTGATTATTATGTAATCGTGGTCGTTTCTGTGGGGCACGCGCTCTTTGCCGCGGGAGAAACACTTGGGGCAGAGGTTTGTGCTTTGGCAGATTGCGCATTTTATGTAGGGCTCGGAGAGGGCGGAGTGGCAGGTGAAACAAGTCGGGTCTGAAGTGAGGATTTCTTCTTTTGTGACTGATATGGGGGCGCGGGGGAGGGGGTGAGAGCAGTCTGAAAGCAGAAAATCGTCACTTTAGACGCCGATTTATTGCACGGGGGGGGAGGGTTCTTGATTTTCGATTAATTGTCGAAATACATCTAGACAATATTTCTCCATAATTTTCGCCGTTTAGAGGAATGTGTGAATGGGGGAATTAGAAAACATTGAGCTTCATGGAAGTTCCCTATTGCTGGACTGGAAGTTCCCTATCATGAGCCCTATAAAATTTAATTAATCGATTGGTCTTTACATTTTCAAATTTTTTCGAAAACCTGTGGTCCCGTGGTAGCTAAAGACAAATTAGTAGAGTAATAACTAATTTAACCAAAAAAAAGTTCATTAGTAAACCTCTTGGGCATTCAACTTGATACATTCGTGGTTTAATTGATCAATAGTAATTAGTGTTTAGCAGATTAAATCATAGGAATTTAGGAGTTCATCTATGGTCAGTATTACATCTTTATCTAGGGTGTAGAGAAAAAAATTGACGTGTTTTCTGGTGTAAACAAATGTGAGCTTGGAGGTTATATTCGTGAATTAAGAGGGTTAAGAGTATGCAGATGAGGTTGACGTACCTTTTGGGAACTGCAAGTCTGCCGCATCCTCTTCGACCATGTCTGTATGTGCGGGATTCGACATTTTTCGAAGTTTTTGATAAAACTGTGGAAAAGGGAGCGAGGCTTGAAGGGTTCACGATCACGTCTTCAACGGTCTGGGGAACGTCGGTTATGTAGAATCTTTGTGGGGTAAATTACCGATAGCGCGACCGACCTATGCGTCGGTAGAGTAGGCTCATCTGAACACAGATGAGCAGATAATTCGCGAGAGTCTAGCACCCGACCTGTGGTAATTATACGGCCGCGCACGAGACTCAGACGAGACTTCTATTTGAAGAGATCATCTCGTTCTAAATTTTTTTTTTCTGCATTTCTGGGGCCCCCGAGTCTTTCATTGGCATCAGAATCGTTAATAGATACAGAATCAACGTTCACTCGGCCAAAAAAATAGATTTTGGCGAAAGTTGACTTTTCCCCTGAAAAAATCCAAGATATGACACTTTCGGCCTCGGGTGAAAATTTTTTTTTTTCATTTTTGACTTTTCCCCCATACTGTTGATAGTTCTGGATAGCCCGTCCCTCAAATAGTCGGAATCCACTTTCACTCGGCTAAAAAAGTCGATTTTGGCGAAAGTTGACTTTTCCCCTGAAAAAATCCAAGATATGACACTTTCGGCCTCGGGTGAAAATTTTTTTTTTTCATTTTTGACTTTTCCCCCATACTATTGATAGTTCTGGATAGCCCGTCCCTCAAATAGTCGGAATCCACTTTCACTCGGCTAAAAAAGTCGATTTTGGCGAAAGTTGACTTTTCCCCTGAAAAAATCCAAGATATGACACTTTTGGCCTCAGGTGAAAAAATTTTTTTTTCCATTTTTGACTTTTCCCCTATACTGTTGATAGTTCTGGATAGCCCGTCCCTTGAATAACCGGAATCCACCTTCACCGGGCGAAAAAAATCGATTTCGGCGGAAGTTGACTTTTCCCCTGAAAAAATCCAGGATGACACTTTTGGCCTCGGGTGAAAATTTTTTTTTTTCATTTTTGACTTTTCCCCCACACAGTTGATACCTCTGGAGAGCCCGTCCCTTAAATAACCGCAATCCATCACTCGGCGAAAAAGTTCGATTTTGCTGAAATTTCTCCCACGAATTTTCCAATTTTCTTTCATTATTTTTACTTTTTATCCGAAACACCTTAAATTTGAGCGATTACGAAGCTTTCATTCGAAAGTAACAAGAAAAAAACAATGATTGGAGTGAAAAAACGCAATGACAGCGCGCATGCGCAAATCTACCGCTGCGAATGCCTCATTCATTTGGTTTTACACGCCCATTATCACGTACCAACACGTGCAGACTCCACGCTTACACATTATCGAGAGACGCAGCTCGAACCGGACAGTCGTGTCCGTGCGAGGTAGCAGTGCGAACCGAATGTCTCCCCAGACTTTCGAGTTTTCCGCGGGAGATTGTGCGAGTTTTTGTAATCACTGCCCAACCCCAGTATTCCAACTGAACTTTAGTGGTTCAATCAAGTGAAATCATACGCTCACACTCTTCTGGAAAAAATCCCGGAGATTCAACATGAAATTATTGATAGTGTTTGTTGCATTTGGTCTCGTGTTTGGTCAACGCAATCCTTATTACGGAAATCTCGATGATTTTGTGTTTGATGGACCCATCAGCAGCCCCAGGAATCGACAGATACATTCGCGAAGTAGTGACGAAGGGAGTGACAACCCGCAGACTTCATTATCGGTAATTTGAAGATATTGAGACGATAATATTCAGGAAAATCAAGAATCGCATTCTAGTTCTTTTTCCGTGATGTCCTCCGCTTTTCCTCCTGCGAGAATTGACATTGGCCCTTCCCCAAACTCGCAAAAGTGAAAATCACTACGGAAAATTCACACAATTGCCTGACGGTTTATTACGTAAATTCAAACTGGCATTCTTGAGACACATACACAGGCGACAAACACCTGTCACATTTGAATATTTTCCTTGATATTGCTGCGTTGACATTGATGTGACGTCGCCTTATGTTGACAGAAGTGATCATAAAGAGATAGATAATATGAGTTTTGTGAAATGGAAAATTATACTGAGTAGAATCAAATAGAACAGAACAAAATAGGTCCGGAGACAGGAGTAAAGTTGTCAGTGGGTTTTTTCAACATAGCGAGCCGGGTCCATGTGACCTCGAAGGCCGCGGCATAATAATGTCGAGGATAGATCGTACCGGTAGCGGATTCAGAGCTGTGCAATCGCAACTTGTTGGCGAATTTAATCACGAACTTGACGCCACCTGAGACGTTTGCGTGCCGAGTATGCGCCTGAGTTTCATTGAGAAATTTGTCAAGAAGGGGGAAATCACACGGATTCAGATAAAAATTACGGAACGCTCTGGAAAAATTCCGTGATTTTAGGTAAAAATTACGTGACGGTCCCGTAAAATTTCCTACAACCATATTTCGCTCCGGAATTACGGAAAAGTAATGGCTGATATTGAAGTAATCTTCTCATTATCCAGGGGATGAGTGGTTTTAGTGAGAATTGACAAAAGATATTTCTTGTGAGAAATTTTATGGGTTCTGGAAGACGTCTCAACAATTTTACCTTGGCGGAGTAATTTCCAAGATCGTGATTAAAAATCGCATGTGGGAATTCGGAATCAACGAATTTAATTTGCTTATTGAATTCAACTTGTTCATTTCATTTAAATTGACGTTCAATTCGTTCATTGAATTTTCGGATAATAATTGGAGGCAATTAGTTATTTTTGCTAATAAATTGGCAATATGGTGGTATTCTAAATCGAATTATATTTCGGACAGAATTACTCTGTTTTTAAATATTGACTTCGCATAAATATTCTATCAATTTTAAACAATTTTCGGTAATTCTCGAAAAATTCTCGTGCGGCGCTAGAGCAATTATGGTGTCCCCAATAATTTTTTCGGCGCTACAAAACAATTGTTTCAAGTTTGCAAGTTGTTCTCGAATGGAAATTATTAAAAACCTATTCATGTTGGAAGCTTCTTCACCTCACCTCATGAAAAAATGAAAAACACTGCAAATTTCATGCAAATCACTTCATCATATTGATCTTCTCGAGCCTAATAAAGTGAAATGATAAATGGAAGGAAGAGAACGATGAACAACTCAAAGATAAATGACCAAGTTTCATGAATCAAGCTGCAGGCGTTTGCGCTAATGGAAAGTTAATGTTTGTGGACATTAACATTTTCAGAGAAAAAACAATTCAGCCTTGATTGTGAAAATTTAATAGAACGTCATCAGGTTTTCCAGATTAACCGTCGAACGCCTGCGGCCAGCAACAACGTGATAAATAACAATCGCTCGTAATTGATACGCGACATGTGTAAAGTCTCCAGATACGTCAAATACGCCTCACTTTCCCAGAAACTAACGCTATCTTCAATTATAAATTATAGGAGGCTATTTTCAATCACCAACGCGCATTTTTCACTCCATTCCAGACTTGAAATACATCGGTTTCCAATGATTTCAGGGAAGCGGTGATTTTAATTCGCCGTTAGTTCATTCTCAGTTTATATCAGTCATAATTCTGAGGAGATGGTGTTTCTCAGAAAGAACGTCTTCAGTATCACACGGCAGGAGGTAAAATATTTGCGGAGGGACTCCTGGGCATGAACCTGAATGGTTTTTTTTCCTGAGGTTTTATTTGGAAACAGATAACAGAAAAAACTTAAGGATACCTGAGTACATTCCACAGTTCCGTGCGGACCGCACTAACAAATTTGGAGATCCTTAATCCTCAAAACCTCCAATACACTAAAAATTTTGGCCTGAAATTTTTGGTACACTTTTTGGAAATTTTTACCGAATTCAATTACGACCGTAATTTCAAGGAATTTCGTCATTGAAAATAAAAAATCAGAGAACTGTCAATTTCAGTTCCATTTTTGCATTCTTGAATTTTCAGGACACCGAATGCGATTTAGTGTCACGAACAACTAAATATTTATCGTCCACTGATAAAAGAACAATCAAAGACGGTACAAGGTCACCCATTATTTATACGTATTCGATTTTTGCGGTCATCCATCCCCGCAATAGGAAATCTCATGAAAATAGCAATAGCCCATTAGCTTGGAGACCGCGAGATAACCGAGGGAATCCCTGTGACCTTTCAATGTGCGCGGAAAAACCGGAGGAAAATTCTTTTTCAAATCTAGCCTGACAACTTCGTAAATACTTCAGTATTCCGGAGGCGTCAGAATTTTGACCTGTTGATTTAATTAATTTTTTCTCTATTAGTCATCCCAGGTATCGGCCACTCGACAACCGTGACTCACCGAGACATCGGTTATTTACAATTGGAAAAATTATCAGATAAAGTATTTCGATGATAGGCACGTAAAAATAATAAAATACAGGGAAATGGTGGCAGAGGGAGAATGCGAACAAGACGTACTGAATGTTATTATTGAGTCAACTGAGTGAAAACTTATGATAGTTATGTTGACTGTGCAAGGCATGGGAGGCTGGGGAAATATGAAGTTTTTAGTTTTTTGGTTCCAAATGGAAAAGTTGCGAGGAGATATTTTTATGGAAAATTATTCTAGGTTCAGAGAAAAGAGTCTTTTGTCACTTGTTAGTTTGACCTTGTGTTTTAGAGTCACTCGTTCTCAGAAAAAAAATATCATCACTTGAGAGATGACAATTTTATGGAAAAAAATGGACAAATTAGTATGCGATAATAAATAATTTCATTGAAAGTAGCAGAGTAAAAAACGGCAAGAATCTCTTCTTTGACACTGAAATTTCATGACCAAACAAGAAAAATAAAGATGATTTTATGAATGAATGAAGGGACAATCATAATCAATTCACAGCGAATAGGAAATTAAAAGGAAAATGAGGTATTTACGAAGTATTAGAAACTGGGGCACCAAAACTTAGTGTTTCCTCTGTAAATGCTGGACAGGTGCGGCCCCTATCGTGTTTTAATACCCGATTAGATTATGTGAAAAGCAAGTCCAGTGATTCAATCATGTCAGACGATAAATTGAGTAATTTAGCGCAATAAACAGATAAGCAGAATCCGCTCTCAATTGAAATCCCGCATTAGTGTTAATTTTTTATAAAATTTAATTTTTTTTCATTTTCTTTCACCCCATACTCTTTAACTGATGGAAAAATATATTTTTGACTAGCCTTACTTCTATCAAAAAACATTTTGTGCTAAACTCTTGAAGAATTTCAATTTCAAGACCCATAATCTATTAAATCATCGTATGATTTGTTGTAATCCATACATCTTTCATAAATATTTCAATTTTCCAAGGGTTTGGAACAAAAATAAAAAACGCATCGTAAGCATCTGATGAATAAAATAAAAATTATTATTCATATTCAAAAATTCTGTACATTCAAATTGCGCACTCGAAAAAAGTTTCCATTCCCTTACTAATCTAATAAATTATGGATCAAAAAAATGAAGTGTTTAATTATTGAAGGAGCTGCGTTATTATTGTTTTAAATGATTTTATTTTATTTCATCCACTCTTTGTTACACTGGTAGAAAAATATATTCTTGAACAAGTCTCACTTGCTGTTCTAATCCATACAGCATCTTTAATCAATTCTTCTATTTTTCAAGGGTTTTCGAACAAAAAGAAAACCCAAGAGGGTACACTAATGAATGAAATAACAAATTCTTTCATTCATTTAATGATTATACATGTTCAAAAATTCTGTATATTCAAATTACACAATTTCTACCTAGTTAATAACCAGAAAAGTATTATGCGAACTGAAACTACTTCAACTCGTGGAAAGGTCTCCCCTCAGTAATCTCTAAATCTTATCGTTTTACGTTCATCAAAATTGGCACCTTTGCTATTTTTATCGTGAGCCAATCTATTCCCTGGAAATTCATTATCACATTATCGCTGAGTAACAAAGTATATACTGACTCCAATTTTTATTCATTCTCCCCAACAGAGTTCAATATCACTGGCGAAGCAACTAAACGAATTGGACTCCTTGGACGATTTCCTAAATATCCTGGAGGGAGTTCCAGACAGCGAGAGGAATGTCCAAATGGCGAGTAAGTGCAAATGCACTCTTGAAACCGGATTCCACATTTTTGTAATTACTGTTATTGGCGATATCCATTAGAAACCGGTCGGTGAATCACGAAAATGTGGAATACCAGTAATTACCGATAGCACTGGATTCAGGGAATAATCTCCACAAAAATGTGACAACTTTCTTTTTTATTACTATTATCTCCAATGACTGGTTGGCAGTACGATTTACGTTTCAATGTACATGGTTAACGTAGTGACTCGAATCAGTCTGAACATAAAAGTATAAAACGAAAAAAAAAATGCAAACAAAAAATGCTTTATCGAATCTTAAACTGAAAAAATAACGTAAAAAAAGAAAACAATGAATCGGTGAACTAAAGACTAGTCCAGTGGTGAAGTGGTTTAGTGAGGGAGTTTTTTAAATTATGAAATCATTTCGGCAGACCCAGAAGACCCACTCGTGGTGGAGACAATCACCTGATCAACTACATTAATTCAATGTTGTGGGCACTCTCATTAATTTGTTAATTTGATCATTATCTGCGTAATGAGTTATTTTTAAGAAAAATGTTGAGTGTTCTAGGGAGACACCATGAATTTGGTAATTTTCATCCAAATATTGAAAATCCAGATAGTCCTCCATTAAACCACAAAATCCAAAAACTCTCATTCCACTTCACCCCTACCTTCCCCCCCAACCATTCGCCAGAAACCCCTCTAAATATCTACTGACCATCATCTTCCAAGTATTCCTTCCCCTCGAACTCATTAGACAGGTTCAGTCGACACTTGGTATTGCTCTCATAAATAATAACATGAATCTTATATTTAAAAATAAAATTACTGTCCCCAGCCCCTCCCAGTCCTTCGCCCTTGAATTTATCGAACTTCAGCTGTCCCCTCACATACTTCGGAGTCGAGAGGGTATTGATGTTCCCCTCCTGCTTGTTCATCTGGAGCTGTAGGCACTCGAGGAACTGATTCCTCTCCTCCTCGTAGTCGTCCTCGTGCCCCTCGCCTCCAACACTCCTCTGATCACAATGGAAAATCTTTGGATTTGAATTCTCGTCCTTGATTGAGTATGCGATCTGCAGCTTGCTGTGGCGTTTACGTGTGTCCTTTCGAATCTGCTGGCTGTTGAAGTATTTGCAGAACTCAATGACCCCACAAGCCTCCAGAAACTTCAGGGATGACTTGTCTGCATCGCCCTGTCCAATCTCCCTTTTGACTAGATCCTTTGCCTTCAACTCAGCGATGTTCATCTCCATCTCGTCCATGTTCGTGGGCTGAAAGTTGGCTGTCATGTCTGTGTCAGGTGTCTCAGAGGTGCAGTGATGCCCACCAGAATCGCCTGAATGGGGCTGACAGGTGAGCTGGGGAGTCATGAAGCTGTCGAGGCGCAGTCCCTCCATGTTGAGCTCACTCTCGATTACGTGATCCGTCACTTCGGGGCTTCTGCTCTGGAACGAGTCCGCTGAGCTGTTGGGGTCTGACTGGGCCGCTGGTTCGGAGAGGGATGTGTCGAAGATGATGCTGTCGTCGGCGAGGTTGTGGGGGTGCTGGGTGAAGGCGTCTGAGTAGCATTTGCGTTTGTACTTTGATTGGGACTCGCTTTCGTCGGCGGTGGGGTTGTTGTTGGAGGGAATGCCTCCGGTTGAATAGTGTTTTCGTCTGTTGGGGGAAAATTTAAGCTCGATATGAGAAGAACGTTCGAGGGTGCAGTTATCAAATTAAATTGAGATTTTTTACGTTTTGCAATTTTTTGGTATCATGGATATCCAAATACTTTGGCAATTTTTTTTCCACGCTGAGAGACAAATGAACAAGTTTTCAAACAAGTCTTGTTTGGGCCAACAAAATCGTTAGATGAAAATTATAAAAAAAAAGATTCGAGAGGAAAAAATATTAAATGAAATAGATTTTTCATCCCTAAAAAACAAGGTTTCCGAAAGTTTAGACAATTTTAATTATTTAGTTATAAACAACGACTATCTAAAAAAATCGTAGCTCTATGCAAAATGTAATTTGAATGATGTTGAATACTTATGATTTTAAAATTTTTCTCATGCAATTAAATTAACAAATTTGACGACTGAAAATGGTTGAATTTATATATGATCTGTATCAAACTGTAAAAAATAGTTGGATATCTTTCAAGTCGTTAGTGTATTTTAACTCTAATTAAGGGAAGAATTTTTCCGAGAAATGAGTGATTTCAGGAGAAAAATGCCAAGAGATTTCTTTTGCAGATGACATTGTCTCTAAAAAATCTCGTGACAGCTTCACCTAAACCGACTTATCATCGGGATAATTCATGCTTTGTTCGAACGAATAATTACCTCAATGATCGATGCTCTCGATATCCAATGCTCGTCTTCGGTGTAATTTCATTGAACACATGCCTCGATTTGATCTTCTGATACTTCATGAAAGAAGCAACATCCTTACGACCCTTGATGGTCTGTCCGAACCAGTCTAGCACGACATCGTCAGCCAGATGATCCTCCAAATCTGAGGCTAGACCGTCTACAAGAGCAAAGTAACTGTTGACGAAGGAAACTGCCTGTGAAAGTTCCTCCTCCATGTTTCCTCCCTAACACGACAAAAAGGAAAACCCTCTTCAGAAAAACTACAACTAAATATTAACCACAAAAAACCCAATTTTCTCGAATTTCCAAGATGAACGATTAATTTAGTGATCGCTTTCACTCGACATCGATTTCAATCTCACAGTAAAAAAATTCAGATGACGTTGTGACTGAAATTTTAAGAAATTTCTAAGATTGCACTTCATAATTCACGAATCATCATCATGTTCTACAAATTCACGAGAATCATTTTATCAATTTCTGTCAGGTCGTTTTGGAGGTGAAGAACGATCAAGCGTGAGCGCAATAGTGTCCGCAATGTGCAAGCCCGAGCTACAGCCAGTACCATTCAAAAAGGATAAAAATGACCGTGCAGTGGTTTACTACCCAGCCTGCACGAGAATAAAAAGATGCGGTGGCTGTTGTGGCCACCCTTCACTCTCCTGTCAACCCGTCACAAACGAAACTCGAAATTTTGAGGTACACCTATCATTAGGGGAGAATGCACTGAGCGAAAAACGAATAACTTTCGTTTGGGACATGAAGAAAAGCAGAAAATTAACAATTCTATTGGCTAATTCCTCAGGTGCACGTGGCGAAAGTTACTGGACATAATAAAATGAGGTACAGTCATAAGGAAATTGTGACTTTGGAGGAGCACACATCGTGCAAATGTCGATGCAGGATACAGGCAGAGGTAAATAGATGAGTCATGATAAAATCATCAGAATGAAATCGAGGTTGACTATATATTTTCAATTATGTCATCATATCGAGAATCAATTAGTTCTGCCGAAAAATTATATGTTCCACGCGAGAATATTTGACAGAGTGGAACGGATTTATTTGGAGAAAATTAGTCAACTTGATAGAAGGAAATTCAAGATTTCTCACAAAAATTTAATTTTTGTCATGACTATCAGAAATATTCCTAGAAGAATTCGAACTATCGGCAAGAAAAAATATAGTTTAGTGTATCGAAATCATTTCAGTTGGCAGAACCACAAAAATAATAAATTGGGGAAAGAATATTGTTTTCCCAAGAAAAAAAATATTCTCCTAAAAATTATTTAGTTTAACTTTTTTCTTGAAATTATTATGCGTTCAACTAAATTCATTCCACATGACAAAATCTCTTCTGTGGAACATGTAATTTTTCGGCAGAACTAATTTTTTCTCTCAGTGTGAGTGATTTTAGGAGAAAATGTTGGAAGACGTTTTTAGAAGCTCTTGAAATTCTCTCCAACGAATCTACTTTGATATTTTTTTCTCAAAAGATTAATTTACCGATATAGTCGTGCTAAATCGATAATTAGAGTTTTGCACTATTTTTATTTATTGCTAGACTAGATATGAAATTTGGTCAGTACCAAAAATTGTTTTATCAATTACTTGGCATTAGTTCATTCCACGAATTAAATGTCACAAAACATTTTCTCATCGTTTTCAAAATTCTCCAAGAAATGTTTTGTCATTTTCCCCAGACGTCATTCATTACTGCGATAATTCACCAATTAAAAACACAGGTTGACGATTAATTGCAGTAATTAGTGGAAGTCACGCACAAAAATTCTGACGCACTGACGTCAATCGTCTTCATATCGATATTTTTCTGTTTTCAGCACTGCACAGACAAGCAACAATACGTGCGGGACGAGTGCAGGTGCAGGTGTCGAAATTCAGACGAGGAGACTAAATGCACAATTAGTAATAAAACAAAGCTCTGGGATCCTGACGGTTGCGTCTGTCTCTGCAGAAATATTCAAGAGTGCAACACTGGATATTATTTTGATCAGAATACATGCAGGTGTGATGACGAGAAAATGATATTCTTATGAATTTTGGTGGCGGTGGTGGTGGTGGATCTACTGAGCAATCTGTAAGGATTGCATGGAGAAGAGGGATTGACTGCTATTTAATTCAATACCTTTGCTTTCATTAATAGGGAACTTGCATGAATTTTTTAAAATTTTTTTAATCTCAAGCTTCGGCACTAAATAATTAATTTTTCATTTATAAACATCAGAAATGTTGGTCTTTTATTAAAAACGAACGCTAGACCAATCACAGAATGACTCGAGCCAATTTAACCCAATCTTCACAACTCATCCATTCGGTTTCAAAAACGCCTGATTCTCAATCAATTAATAGAAAATATCTACGCAATATTTCTTCATAATTATTTTCCTTTAGCATAATTATTTTCTCCAAAATTAGTATTTTTCCGTGATTATTTTCCTTTAGCATAATTATTTTCTTTCTAACTAACTAACTTTGTAACTAACATTAACTTTACTCTCAACTGAAATTAAAATGAGGAGATTGGAAATACTGACGCGTATTGGATTAATTGCAGCTGTCGACCGATATCATCAGGAAAAGGCTGGTCTGAAGGACCCAACTACAGTTTTCCCGTGGGCATAGGGGAAATCCCTCCAGTAATAATTCCCATCGACGCCTCTGATCCGCGGAGAAAACACAAAGACGAACCCAAAGATTGAGCAATTACTATACCATTAGAATAATTTTATGATCATTCAGACGAAGTATTTTGATGGCTCTGGGCATCACTGTTGAAGTCATTGACTTGTCCATCCTAATTTAAGTGTTTCAGGCTTTATCATATTTTTTAGTACCGAATATTGTAAAGAGAGAGGGAATTTTTCGAGAAGTGACATTTTAGAGTAATTGATGTACTTAATCCCTCAGGACTTATCAATTTTATCTATCGATTCATGCGACTACTCATGTGAATCACATGATTTTTTGTTTACTCTAGTTGAGGCCATGTATACAACATTGTGATAAATAAAGTGAAATAATTTTAAGCAATCCTCACGTTATTCAACTCGAAAGTACATTATTGAATGGAAAATGAGAAATTAGAAGGACAATAAAGTGCAATGATGAACTACAGATCGCATTTGCGAAGGTGATTAGTCGAAAAATTACAAGCACAATAACGAAGCAAGTCAAGAAAATTCCTCGTAGTCCATGAAATTCTCTACAAAAAATATTTCCCGAAATTGGTTACTAGAATCGCTCTTTTCTTTTGATAATTGAGCTTCAATTAAAAGTTTTTCAGAGATGATTCATGCAAATATTTTAGGATTAAGGGATTTAACAAGAAAGTGAAGATTTTTTCATAAATCACAAAGGTCTCTACAAAAAAATCTTGACATTCAACATTTTAAAAAATTAAGCAGTTTCAGAATAATTAAATTCAAAATACAGAACATCTATTATCTAATTTAATAATGTCAAAAATTTATGGTTACCCGAAAAAAAAATTTTGCATAGCTCATGAAATAAAAGAATTGGAAATAGCTTACTCATCAAAATTATGAAATGGAAGAATGATTGACGAATGATTTGAATAAAAAATAACTTTCATTTTCGATCCCATGCTCCACAGAATGAGTAATATCAAAGGAAAAATCGAGAACTTTCACGTATTCCCCAAAAATCCCCCAAAAAATACCCAAATCCTTCAAAATTCATCCATAAATCTCCAAAATAACAGTTATTTCCATTCACTGCTGTCAAGACCTTCCAAGGTCCCATCTCCCCCAGCCAAATAAAAAACACACACACACACACAGAAAAAAAGCATAAAACGAAGGCTCCGAAAATTCTTCCAATAAAACCGAGGAGATTCATGCAACAAAAAATTCCCTCCTACGAAATAATTACAAAACAATTCAGACAAAATGTAACTTTTACTTATGAAGCTGAAACTAGCAGGATATTCGTCAGCGGAAAATTCAATTTACGGGATATTTAAGTGTAGGAGAGCCAAATAATCACATGTACAAATGTTTTTCAAGTGCGAAAGAGTTTGTTCATTATTTAAAAACATTTGTAAATCTCTAGACTGGCCTAAGACAAATCGTCTGCTGTCGAATCTCTCGTTAGTTTCAGCTTCATCGTTTACTTTCGATCTAGTAATGATCTAAAAAATTATAATACCGATTGAAAAAGTTGGAACTTATCCCGTATTTCCCAAAAATGTCTAAATTCGTTGAAACCTTTGCACAAACATTCCCAACCTCACCTGTAAATCCCCAAAACAACAGGTATTTCCACTTACCTTGAAAGATCACTGCTGTCAAGACCTTCCCAAGGTCTCAGCTCCCACAAAAAACGTTAAAAAGCCCCAAAAAGCATAAAGCAAAGGCCTCGAAAAATCTCCCAATAAAACCACAACTACTCATGCAGTAAAAAATTCCCGCCCACAAAATAATTACGAAATAGTTCAACTACAATTCTTCCAATGAAACAACGAATATCCCCAATGTCCCCCACACGTATTCATCAGAACGAGAGACAAAAACAACACTGAGAAAAAAAATTACTTTTGATAAATGTCTATTTACTTGGGAGAAGTATTTATTTTTTCAATAACTTATTTCTCCAGTCGAGTCATTCCCATGCAATCCTCATTAGAATGACCTTCAGTAAAATCCCTCAATAAATGGCAACATTAAAAAATTAATCGAAATTCTTTCCAGAAAATAAGAAAGCTAGGAAAAATGAATAATCATGACAAAAGTTCATTCCAGGTCACGTGTAACATAGTCATCCTCTAGAGCAGCATGATTATTATAATTGAACCGCAGTCAGGCTCATCTAGGAATGACTCAATTGAAGAAACACGATTAAAAAAAAAATACTTCTCTCAAGAAAATAAATATCAAATTAACTGAATTAAATATTAAATTAAATTATTTTTTTGGCAAAAATAATTATTTTTTCCCAGTGAAGCCCTCCAAATATCTCTAGAATCCAAAAAAACTCACCATTACGTAGACTCTCCGTCAGACTTCTGCGTGACGTTGAGATTCACAGCCTCAGCCTGTCTCTTCTCCTCCAGCAGATAACTGACAACAGCTTTATTGACTTTGAGAAAGGTCGAGTGAGTCTCCCCGATAGATTTCACAGTGCCTGCAATGCTCTCTGGAAACAAAGGAACTGAGATCATTTCCGCCCCCCTTTCCCGCCCTTTCGCCCGATTTTTCACCAACTATCGAACGTCAGAATGAAAAAAACCCGAAAACTGGACCCAGATATTTTTTTCCAGGGGTTTCCAAGTTATTTATTCACTTTCCCGACGAAAATGTCTCGATTTACTGAGGATTTGGTTATTTCATATACCGATAGACGTAGAAATGTCAGCGATGCAAGATTCACTCGATAGTTTTGGGCGTTTCGGTGGCTGTTGCATTATTTATCGATCAGAGAAACATTAGCACTGGCCACTGGTCCCTTTTCACGACTTCTGATTGTGTATTTGAGGTAAATGAGTGTTTTTGTTCGCGGAAATGTCACGGGGGAGGACTGAGCGTGTTGAGACACGTTCGGTCGGGCAACGAGTGACGAGTTGGCGCCAAAACCGGGGGCTGAGCGCCGCCATGTTGGGTGACGCGCGCCGCGATTGGTGGAGCGCGGAGAGAGTACCCGTGGCGTCTGCAAGATGGCGGTGGGCAGTGCTCCACGGATTTCTGAGGCGAATGGATGGGGGAGTTGGGGAAGGCTGGGATCCTCGGATGAATAGACGGGGAGAAACGCTTGTTAATGCGGTTTTGTCTGCTGGGGACTACACTGAAGATCATTTTGATGAGGTGAGATGATGAGGGGGACAATTACACAGTCTAGGAGGCGAAGGAGGGTGAGAGGACGATGCCCAGTGAATCGGGAGAGGTAACAGGTAAATGAGAGCACAGTAAACATTCTCAAATCGCCAATTTCTCCTGGATAAATGATGGGGTTCGAATGTATTCGGTCGCTTTTCGGAGAATGGAAAAATACCTTTGACATGAGGAAAAGTCTCAACCTCATAAAAATGACATTGTCGTTGCGAGATGGAATCTGTTAGGTCTAAGACGATTCCGTGATTTATGGAGACATAAATATTGACAGTGGATATGACTGTTGACCTCCAATGGCTGAATCATCTTAATGATGAGGGATTCAATTTTTTCAACGCCTAGAGCTTCATTTTCTAATTTATTAAATGCCAAAATCTAATACTTCAAACATAATTGCTGAATTGGAGGAAAATTTGTGTAAAATAGAAAATGGTAATCATTATTGTTAATTATTGAGGCATCTTGGATTTTTGTGGTGAATGAGGGACTTGGGAAACGCTGAGATGAATAGATGGGGAAAAAAGTGTTTGTTTGTGTGGTTTAATTTGCTGTGGGCTACACTGAAGATTATTTTGACGAGAGGGACAATTATACAGTCTATCAGGGTGGCAGGAGGAGTCCAATGGAAGATTTCTATTGATTAGGGAGATGTGAAGTACAGTAAACCTCAAATCGTCAGTATCGTCTGAATAAATGATCGAAAAGTCTCAAACCTCATGAAAATGAAGGAGTTTTCACCTAAACACGACTACATTGTCATTTCAATGGCTGAATCATCTTAGTGATGAGGGATTCAATTTTTTCAACGCCTAGAGCTTCATTTTCTAATTTATTAAATGCCAAAATCTAATACTTCAAAGATAATTGCTGAATTGGAGGACAATTTGTGTAAAATAGAAAATGGTAATCATTATTGTTAATTATTGAGGCATCTTGGATTTTTGTGGTGAATGAGGGACTTGGGAAACGCTGAGATGAATAGATGGGGAAAAAAGTGTTTGTTTGTGTGGTTTGATGTGCTGGGGGCTACACTGAAGATCATTTTGATAAGGTGTGATGATGAGGGGAACAATTATACAGTCTAGGATGCGGAGAGAGACAGAAGGGAGTGGACTGCAAGATTTCTGGTGTTTAGAGGAAGGTAAGCTACAACAAACCTTTTCACATCGTCAATATCTCCTAATAAATAATAGAATTTGAATGTAGTCTGCCCCTTTTTGGAATATGAAAAATGGAAAAACATCTTCTGAATGAACAAAAAAAATATTATAACAAGGAAGGCATCACCTCATTATGACTATTGTTGAGGGGCCAATGGGGGTGTTGAGGCTATCTGATTGCCAATAGCTGAATCATTTTAATAATGAATTCTATTTTTTCAATGCCTCGAGATTTTTTCTTTAGTTCATCAGACGCTTTAAAAGCAGTCTTCTGGAATTTCTAGTGGAAATTTAATATTTTAAGGGTAATTTCGGAATCGGAGAATACTTTCAGTAGCGAAGCGGTAAACCGGATTGAGTCGATTTTGACTTTTAGTCAGTTTTTGATGAATATCTCGGAATCTCACAGAGATAGCAAAATTTTTCTTATGACCTTTTTTGTAGGGTCGATTGAGAGCTATAAAAAAGGTCGAGACAAAATTTCTTCCATCTCTTTTAGATTCCGAGATATTCGTCAAAAACTAATTTGTATAAAATACAAACTGTCAGTCATTATTTTAAAATTTATTTTATAAAATACGAAACGTTACCATTGAGTCATCTCAGTAACGAGTGACTGCACAAGGAATTTTCAAAGCGTCTGAACTTTCACACAAAAAAGATCGACGATCATTATCAAGATAATGCCGCGGTTGATGGAAATTCCGTTTTTAATACAATCTGTCCATCATTCAATCATCCTACCAATGAAAAATCGCTCGGGATATCAAGACAATTCGACCGACGAAGATTTTCTTGTTAATACGATCTGCCAGTCATTAATCACCCTGACGAGTGAAAAAAATCGTCGAGAAATATCGAAAGACCTCGTGTATTTACCGAAAATTTTACGGTCCCGAAGAAAGTTCTCTTCGACTGTCCTCTCAACCTACTTGCTTGAAACGTATTTACATATTACAACAGAAGGAACTCTGAAGCGCAATAAAAACACGGGAATCATCACCTCATTACACGGAGAGAAAATCTCAATAAAAAGTGACTCGGAACTGAAATTATGATTCGTATACGTACGCATTGTACGAAGTAATTTTTCCCCAACGATTGAGAAATTTTACGGAACGGAACGTAGAAATAACTCACCAGCCTCATAAAAATTGTTGAACGTTCAAGAATTTTTTATTTTGGAGGCGTAATAAGTCGGCAAGTTCCCCTAAGATTTTCCTTCTGCGGGAAAAATTACGTGACAATTTCGTACTTTGTTCAGTGATGAACCTGAAAATTCACTGAACGTTTCAGATTTCTTCTCTTCCATTCCTACAAAAATTGCCGGAAAACGATTTCCCCTTGCGGATTACGTGAATTGTTCCGTAATTTTTACTGAATATTTTTCTCTGTGCACCAGAACATTGTCGAGGAGACAAGTTCCAAAGAGGAATAAAATTCGTCATTATTCTCTCATAAACTTGCATATTTCATGGAGCCCATGCAAATAAAACTTTATTTTTTCCCTCGATCTCTCGAATTCGAGTGGACTCGTTCCGATAATTTCCTCGAATTACAATGATTATTGGCTAGCAGCGATAATGATCGTACAGTGGAGAGCACTTCTTTTCATTCCACACTTTTTTATCATCTTTTTTTTCTTTTATTCTGCCCCTGTCTTTCGTATCAGAGAGATGGGGACGGTGCACCTCTCGAGTTTATATTCCTGCGGGCCACACTCTCCTGCACGTCCCCTGCTATTTATAACACGATACAGATTGTACGGAAGCCGTATTTCGGGGCCACGACGGGCCCCGCCCGAGCGATCCTGTCGAGAGCAAAGGAAAACGCAATTTTGTAATTACAGGGTGGAACCTGGGCAGCCTCTTGCCATCCATACGAGATTACAGGGGGTGGGGGATATCACATCACAAAATTCTACTGCCATCTTTTCTGGTAGCGGTTTTAATTTTATTCGCGATTTTATTTTGTTTTTCAATTGATTGGACAAGGAATAATTGATTTGTGAGTGTTCTCTGGGTAATTGACAACTTCTGGAGCAAAACCTGTTATTTGAGGTTTCGGGGAGAGTTACGTGGACTTTTTTTAATGATAATTGAGGAATGTAGAAGGAGTTTGAAGTTATGAAAGACTCATATAATGAGGATTCGGGAAATGGGACTCTAGTTGATTTTGAAATTGTTCTGTAAATATCTTTGGAAGGAAGAAATTCGGAAAATGTAATTAAAAACATTTTTGTAAAAAATTTTATAAGCCACTCACAAATTTCTGGGACATTTCCTCCTGATGTCACTCCTTTTCAAGGTAAATGTATTATTAAGATTTTATATTCGAGGAGAATTCTAGTTGATCAAGACTAAAGCCCGTCATTACTTAAAGAGGTTTTTTCCAACTCGCCTGAAATTATACAAAACTCATAATTTTTACATTGACCAAGAAGACTGACCTAAAAAATTATCGATGAATTTTTTAGTCACCCGTTATAATTGCCACTGTACGATTATTAACGTACATTTTGGCCACACGAGAGCCCCTGATAAAACTCGTTCTCCCAAGGAAAAGAGGCGTGGAATTGGTCACTGACAAAAGTCAGCCTCACCAGACGTCTTCAAAACTGCATCACGTACTTATTAAATGATGTAATAAAAAAGTGTGGTGATGTCCACAGCAGTGTGCATGCACGTGTTGCCCTGTTTTGAGGTCAATGAACGGGTGTACCAATTGGTAAATGAATCCAAAACTCTCGATATCAATGAATGACGAATTGTTTCTCATGTCCCGGGAGACTCCCGGGTTTATTTTTATTTCTTTTCGTGTTGTGCACAGCGAAGATGGAATCTACCAAGTTACTGAATAAGGATCTGTGGTGAATTTCATTCTCTCAAGCAAATTTTTCATAATTTTTCCTTCTTTCTACTTTCCTATTCATATCATCTAAAAATAGAAAAATTTAAATGTTCATCTTGAAATAGAAAAGTATCTATTTCAATCGACAATTCAGACGTAAACAGCCATTACCTCTTCGAATTTTTTTACAAAGTGATTTCATCCGCAGATTCTGTAAAAACATTTTTACAATTCAGTGGTGAAGCGGTAAAACAATTCAGGTCGAGTTAGCTCTTAGCTGAGCCTTTTAAAGGAGATAGCGAAATTTTTGTAATGACATATTTTGTAGAGCGGAATGAGAGCTACAAAAAAGGTCATAACAAAAATTTAATTATCTGCCGCAGATTCCGAGATATTCATGGAAAACTGACCAACAGTCAAAATCGGTTCTGTTCCAACAATCCAAAAATTCTATTTATTCCTTGCGCCAATGTCCATTCATTTTCCATTCAGGTCACACAACTTATATTTCTCAATAGATATTTGACAGAAGAAGTCAATAGTTTTTGATTTTCAAACCAAAATTTTTCAAACGAAAACGTTAAATTTTTCCATAATTTTTTTTCCGTACTTGAATAATTGAAATAATTATAATTACACTGCTGCCACTAATCATCCCCCCTCTGGGCCCCTCAAAAATGTCGACCATGCCGTATAATTTACAAGTGTCCAATGCA